TTAACGCGTTCCACTGCTCTAGAAGCCTGGTAATTACAGCTGTTACTGAAAGCCATCGAGTCTCCACTGGACACAAAATTTTATGACTTTTTAGCTCTAAGAACTGTTGATATTGTTTAAATTCATGCTGCCGCTTACAACTTGATGAAAAGTGATTATAAATTGAATGAAATAATTTTTCACAATCAAACGGTATTGCGTCACAAGCTTTACTGGAACAAAGGTGAAGCGAATGGCAAATACATGTCATGATGTAAATGTTAGGACAACTATCTTTAAATCTTGTTCTTACTACATTATGTTTACCTATCATAGCATTACATCCGTCTGACCGGAAACCAATAATTTTATCAAAGGATACAGAGAAGCGTTGAAAATATTCGCGGACACAATTGAAAAGATGCTCTGCTGTAGCAGATACTTCTTTAGAATCGTCATTGAAAATTCTACATAACTCCCAAAAATTACTAGCTATTCGTCTTAGACATTCATCGTAATACCGTATGATAATACACAATGTTTGAGTCATTGAAATGTCAGTTGACTCATCTATCTTTACACTAAAAGGAGTTTTTTGTAATTTACTAGCTAGTTCTTCTTTTTCAGCAAATCCGATTACGTTTCTAATAATACACGCGCTTTTAGAAGATTGTAATCGGACTTGCTTTATAATGTCACTATCAGGAACACACTCCTGGCGTAACGGTTTTAAGTAATTCATAATCTTAAAAGGTACATTGTGTTGTGCAAAAAAACTACACAATTTAATTTCTGCGCGTGAAACTGTACCATTCATTGGAACATTTTCGAACTTATTTGAAGCTTTATCTTTAAAACTAGCAATTTTTGTTTGTTTATTTAAACCTTTTAACATTATTAAATGAGATTTACTAGTCGCATGTTTGCGAATAACTGTTAACTCCGCAGTAATTGTTGCTTTGCAGAGTGAGCATTGAGCTTTTAATTTATCAGAATGAGGCAGGAGCCACGAACAAAAATCCGGATTACTAAGCCACTCATTACGGAACTTTTGTGGCCGCCGTGTGCTTTGTTTTTTTAATTGCGTAGGAGACGTCTTATCTGTCATGGTAAATATAATCTATAAAAAAATACAGAAGATAAATAAAAACCTAAATAAATAAAGAAGAAGTGTTACAAAATATCTTTCCAAATAAGTTTTAAAAATATGCTTAAAGATAAATATTTGACAAAAAAATGTGCAGTCAGTACTTTAGAATTACTCTTCTCTTTTATTAGCAAAACTCAAACGTTCGTTATTACTTAGCGAATAAATTTTTAGGTTAAAATAAAACATGTATAATTGAATACATTAAATTATCAGGTCATAATTTTTTTACTATAAACCTCTTCATTAGATAATGCTGCAACAGTAATATTCTGCATAACATAAAGAATTCAAAGCGTTAAATGACTGAATAAATAGAATAATAATTAAATTGTTGAAAAAAATTATGACTATATTCACATTTGAGGTTATGTTTATACTTTTAAAATTACTTAGATTAATAGTTATCAAATATTTACCTGGTCAATTAGTAACTTCTTTTTCTTCATGTGATCTTATGTGATGTCACAATATGTCACAATATGTTTACAAATGTTAACACAGATTTATATATTTATGATTATTTAGAGATTTTAGAAACTGTAAAAATGTAAAAACTGTAAATTAGAGAGAAGTGTTGTTGCTGCTATTGCTGGTATGCTTATGTTGCTATGCTGTTATCTCTTCAATGATCCCAGAAACTTTTGCCTGTCTGATTGACACAGTGCCGTAATATCATCGTACGCACAGAAAAATCAGATCCGATTTTCTGGATTTTCTGAAATTCTGAAATTCCAGATTTTAGGATTTTAAAAACAGCAAAAAAAAAGTAAAAATGTATATGTCTTAGCAAACTTGATGACTATTTTTTTTAGGTCGTTTATTTAACCCTTTTCAGTTGGTTTATTTGCTGTTTTCGTCCTTTTTTACCCTTTTTACTGCCATGGCTATGTGACTATATATGTGGCTACCGAAAATAACTGTAGCTAATCAAAAAATTGCTTTTCAAACTTTTCAATACATAAATAACTGAGTGCGCTAGAGTGCGCTGCAACCGAATCGCGTTACAAAAACAAAATCAAGACATATAGAAAATTATATTTCATATCGAATAATCGATAATTATCGTACACGTTAAATTTTGGATCGTACAATACTTCAAATTATTTTACGTGTACGATAATTATCGTTCGAATGGGATCACTGGCTTTTCTCTACGTGTCGATACCACTATCTCGGATTATACAACGACAATTTGGTCAACACCGGTATCAGGGTTCAAGTAATTCTTTCTACTTTTCCATTGCTTCTTGGAACTTCCGTCGTAACCAGCACGTGGATCCTTTGGATTGGCAATATTCGCGGAAGTCCTCTGATATGAAGGCTGGCCTTCTATCGCTAACGATCTGCTTCGCGTTGCCAAAAATCTTTTGTTGTTCTTTCAGCCTGACCAATACTTCCCTGCTGCTAGTCGTCTTGATAGGATACAACCAGGTGAATTTTGTAAATCCATTGATTACAACTAAAAGGTATTTTTTATTACGAATGCGGAGAAATATTTGGTACATAATTGGGGTCCAGGGGCAGAGCTCCGTCAGGGGGTGGGGTCGGAGCCCCTTTCACTCCACAAAACAATACTGAAAAAGTTAAAAAATTTTAAATAAATGAGCTGTTTATTTGGGAAGTGGCCTAAGTCCATTTATCTTAAAATCGAGATATTTAAGGGTTTGCGTTTCAATGAATTTAAAAATATACGTACAAGATACTAACGAGTTATACTGCTTAAGTGTATTTAAAGGCTTTAAATTTATATTTCCTATCAAAATAGTGGCAATTATTAAGTGAATAATATGCGTTTTCTAACCACAAATGGAGATAGGCTACTTTCAAAATTACCAATTTGACTTGTTATAAAATTTCGAAAGGACCAAACTCCATTCATCATAATTTAAGATGCTTCAAATTAAAAAAAAACAATACTGAATTTATTTTACATATCCTTAAAACACTTCAGGAACATAATTTATGCGATTAAAAAAACTACATAACGTGCAAAATTACAAACATAAATTTATTACAAAACAATTTACTACTTATCTACATTTTGTGCGTGTAAAAGGGATTTGAAGTAATCATGATGTTCCGGTGGCATATATCGTAATAGCTCCATTATGTCCTTGAATTTTGCTATTGTAATTTGTCTGATATTTTTATACAGTCGTGTCAATACAATATTTTTGAACTTTTTTGGTCTACCCCGATGTGGTAATAAATTGAGGACTTTAAAATTTTCATTCTTATTCATTGATGTCTTATAGAAAATTTTATACGGTTCATTTCTGACAAAACGCATCCAACATATTTTTAGCCAGTTTATTGATTCTCCATTAGAATTTTTTACTCTTTTAAAAATTGCATCTTCTAATAATTTTGTTAATACAAAATCCTCTTGTCTCATTTCATTTACAATAAAACTATTACCTTTCCGACACTTTTTCATAATCTTGTAATAATCTTTGGGAACTAACAGTAAATTATTGTTTTTTAATGATATTTCTACCACGCCAAAATCTCTATCATTTGGTAAAAACGAATGTCCTGATATTAAAAATTTGTGATCTATGATTTCTACAATAATTTCCAAAGATTGGACAATTTTTAACCACATTAAAGCTATTTTAATGTTTCTATTTTGCCCGGTGCACATGTCACTGTAAGCTATAATGTGTCTTTCACTTNTTTTTAATGACATTTCTACCACGCCAAAATCTCTATCATTTGGTAAAAACGAATGTCCTGATATTAAAAATTTGTGATCTATGATTTCTACATTAATTTCCAAAGATTGGACAATTTTTAACCACATTAAAGCTATTTTAATGTTTYTATTTTGCCCGGTGCACATGTCACTGTAAGCTATAATGTGTCTTTCACTTTTTTAATTTTTAACATGTTTTAGGATGCATGAAACAATTTCTTAAGCACCTCTGGATGCAATAGTTTCATCCCAAACGTACATGTAAACATTATCGTTATGAAACTTGTGAATGCCTAAATTTAGAACATACATATTGCGTTTGTAATATGCTACTGAGGTAGTCAACTTGGGATACGTTAATGCTTTTTGCAAGTCGAACGAGAAAGCAAAATAATAATTTGAATTACGCAATACTTGCTTCTGATCTTGTTTCAGTGAATTCCTAGCTGATTCTGCTAGTCTTAAATGGACATCGTGTTCTTCTGTAAGTTTATTCTTTTCTTCATTATCATTCGATGCTTTAACTTTGATGTGCAATAAGTCGCATTTTTGACATGTATCTTTGTGCGGTTGGTGGAAATGTAAATCAAAATCTTTCTTAAATATTTTTCTGTAAGTCCACTTATTAACGGCTTTTATTTTATTTTCCTCGCAATAAAGCTCGTATAAATTAAGCATTTTCCTTAGAGTTAGATCAGGATGTAGATATCTTCTATTAGGATTATGAGATCTAGTATAATAGGATTCAAATTTAAGAAAACTATTAATATGGTTTTGAACATGCTTTTTTCTTTCCTCAGATAATTTTCTTGATTATCCAACCATCATTCCACGTAAATCATTGCCTACATTTGCAGAGTTTAATACTCGTTTTAAGCGTTCTTCATTTATTTTAAAAGTATCCAAAAAGAATTTTTTCCCACGGGAACTTTTCCGTTTGTAGAATACAACAAATATCTAAAACTCCAATTTCTTGGCGAACCTTTTCCGTTTGTTGAACGTCTTCGTTCCACAATTTTGCGCTCTACAGCTTCGTAAAACAATACATTTTGTTTGTTAAAATTTCCAAAACCCCAAAACTTCTCAAAAATATTCTTTCTTTCTTTTTCATCATAATTTTTTGTGCATGCATTCCGACAACGGCAATCTCGAAATTACGAAATACGAAAATTTTTTCCGGTACAATATTTCCGGTTGGAGTACAATATCTTTTTCCTGAGCTCCGTTTAATCTTTCGCACTTTTTGAATGTGTGATTCATCAATTTTTTCTCTATTGTTATTCATATCTTCATCCTCTGAAGACGAATATTGTTCTATAATTCGTTTTCTTTTTCGATTTTTTTTTAAATCATTGCTTACTATTTCTTCTTCACTATCTGAACTAAATAATAGTCTTGTTCTATTCTTCCCCATGGGTGAAATAATTTCTAAAATTTAATATTAAATTTTAAGTTTCATAATAATTAAACGTACTTGTTATTAAACTAACGCAATTGTCCAAAAACTGAGGTTAAATTGTAAATACTAATTAATTAATATTATCTTCATCACTACTTTCCGACATTATCAATAGTAAAATATATTATCTTGATTATTTAAGTATAAGTGGAGTTAGGCCACTTTCAAACTACACGGTTCGATTATTAAACTAACTCTGAAAACTTATGTGTCAAGAATTATCGTATTTGCTCGGATTATAAGCAACCTGAAATGCTTTACTGATAAATAACAAAGTTGTACACGTAACCATGATAACCGGAAAAAACTGAAAAACGGAGTTAGGCCACTTTCAAAATAAACGGCTCATATGTAGATTTTGCTGTATGTACACTTTCCGCATATACTTTTTTGCATGTATAGCAAATATTTGTAGTCTTATTGTTATGGCAATATCCTATTTGACACCATTTTCGTACAGAAGCCGTGCCACTTGTAGTTGGTATATCAGCTTCGTGTGGTTTTTGAACTGAAGTATGATAATCTGAAGCAAGTTCTCTGCTAATCGACACAGAAAGTCTTTCCGTGAGATATTTTCTCCTGTTGTGTTTTTGTACAGTGTCCAGCTATTTATTCCGGCCAAATCTGAAATGTTAAAAAACACTTGAAGTGGCCACCTTCTGGAACCTGATTTCAGTTCAGTTTCAGGTAATTTCTTAGCAGCTTTAACAATTTTGATGTGTTTATGTTTTGTACTTAGTATAAGTACGTTTTTATTTGGTTTGCTCTTATAAACTGTAAGTGTGCATCCATTGGATTGGTACAACAACGTTGAGAAACGTGCCATGCTGTCTTTTTTCAGTTTGCAAGCTTTCGGCAGCTCCCTCTTGTTTGCGCGTATTGTTTCAACCAACGAAGTATTTTTAGATCTTAATTTTAACGCTAAAGGAATACTTGTAAAAAAATTATCGGTTGTTACAGTTCTACCCTTCATGGTATACGGTTCAAGAAGTTTCATTACGACAAATTCGCTTAGAGGGGTTGATGCATTTCGAGCCTCGTCTTTTCCTAAATACGGACAGCCATTTACCACATATTTCGTCTCTACATCAACCGCCAGCCAAAGTTTTATGCCAAATTTATGGGGTTTGTTTGGCATATACTGGGTAAATCTGCATCTGGCCTTTGTTGGAAAAAGTTGTTCATCCACGGTAATATAAGCTCCCGGTTTGAAGCAATTTTGACTATTTTCTATAAATTTGTCCCAAACTGCTGAGACTTAAGCGAATTTGTCTGTTTGCAAACGTTGACTC